AAATTAAAAAATAGTTAGAAAAAAGACTAGGAGTTGGGGCTGGAACAGCACAGCAGGTAGGGCGTTTGCCTTGTACGTGGCAGACAAGGGTTCGGTTCCCAGCAACCCATATGGTCCCCTGAGCACCACCAGGGGTAATTCCTTCGTATAGAGCCAGGAGTGACCCCTGTGCATCGCCGGGTGTGACCCAAAAAGAAAAATAAAATAGGCAAGGGGAGGATAACCTCTTGTCTTGCACGCATTCAACACTGCGTTCAGGCCCTGGCAGTTAAGGAGATCAGGAGAGCACAGAGCCAGGAGTCAGGCCTGAACACCACCGGGTATGGGCCCAAACCAAAAAACATTTAAAAATCAAAATAAGGGGCTGGAGCAATAGTACAGCGGGTAGGGCGTTTGCCTTGCACGCGGCCGACCCGGGTTCGATTCCCAGCATCCCATAGGGTCCCCTGAGCACCGCCAGGGGTAATTCCTGAGTGCATGAACCAGGAGTGACTCCTGTGCATCGCTGGGTGTGACCCAAAAAGCAAAAATAAATAAATAAATAAATAAATAAATAAATAAAAGGTTGAGGATGTAGCTTAGTGGGTTTGATCTCTGGCCGTGGTGCCAGGAGAAAGGCAGGTCGGGATAAGCTTAATGTTGTGCATATTTTCGGACAATAAAAGAAGGGAGGAACCCAGTGCTGGGTGAGTGAGCACCCAGGAACGAAGGCCACGCCCTGCAGAGCTCTTTCTTCCTCATACCAGACTCCTGTGGGCACCACTCTGCACCCCTGCCAGCCTCCACCCCTAGTTGACCTCCAGCTGAGCTTAGCGCTGGTGGGGGATTTTCTGCTGCTACTTGATTTTTTAGCTGTTGTTTATTTTGAGGATTCCCACCTGGCTATGCTCAGGGTTTTTTGGGGTTTTTTTTTTGCTTTTTGGGGGGGGTCACACCCGGCAATGCACAGGGGTTCCTCCTGGCTCATGCACTCAGGAATTACCCCTGGCGGTGCTCAGGGGACCCTATGGGATGCTGGGAATCGAACCCGGGTTGGCCGCGTGCAAGGCAGACGCCCTCCCACCTGGTCCTGCCAGTCTCCTCCCTTGGCTTTATTTATTTATTTTTTACTTTTTGGGTCACACCCGGCGATGCACAGGGGTTCCTCCTGGCTCTGCACTCAGGAATCACCCCTGGCGGTGCTCAGGGGACCCTATGGGATGCCGGGAATTGAACCCGGGTCGGCCGCGTGCAAGGCAGACGCCCTCCCCGCTGTGCTATCTCTCCAGCCCCTGCACTTTTTTTTCTTTTTTTGCTTTTTGGGTCACACCCGGCGATGCACAGGGGTTCCTCCTGGCTCTGCACTCAGGAATCACCCCTGGCGGTGCTCAGGGGACCCTATGGGATGCTGGGAATCGAACCCGGGTTGGCCGCGTGCAAGGCAAACTCCCTCCCCGCTGTGCTATCGCTCCAGCCCCATATGCTCAGGGTTTTACTTACTCCTGGCTCTGCACTCAGGGATCATTCCTGGTGGGGCTCAGGGGGGGATCAAACCTTGGTCAGCTGCGTGCAAGGCAAACGCCCTCCCCACTCACTGTTCTGTCACTCCGGCTCCTACTTCTTCTAAAGTTTTGAAATTTCCCCACCTTGAGCATTTACTGGGTCCATACAGACGGCCCCTGGCTGGGAAGATAACTGTGCCCTGCTGGAGATAAAAAAGATATCAAAGGGCCAGAGCAATAGTACAGCGGGGAGGGCGTTTGCCTTGCACGCGGCCAACGCGGGTTCGATTCCCAGCATCCCATAGGGTTCCCTGAGCACCGTCAGGGGTAATTCCTGAGTGCACGCACCCAATCCGGGCATCCCATATGGTTCGCCAAGCACCGCCAGGAGTGATGCCTGAGTGCAGAGCCAGGAGTAACCCCTAAACATAGCCCGGTGTGGTACAAAAAGATTTAAAAAAAAAAATGTCGAGATTGGGCTGATTCCAGGCCCGAGAGACAGCACAGCGGAAAGGGCACTTGCCTTGCAAGTGACAGTCTTGGGTTCGATCCCCAGCATCTCATAGGGGCCCCCAAGGCCTCTCCTGGAGTGATCCTTGAGTGCAGAGTCAGGAATAAAGCCTGAGAACTACGGGGTGTGGCCCCAAAACAAACACAGAAGAAGAAAGAGAAAGATTGAGATAATACAATGATAGGACTGCCAGCTGGACTAAAATTCAAGTATTCAAATACTTTTTTTTTTTTTTAGGGTCACACCTGGTGATGCTCAGGGGTTACTCCTGGCTCACGTACTCAGGAATTACTCCTGATGGTGCTCGGGAGACCATGTGGGATGCTGGGGATCGAACCCAGGCCAGCCCCTCAAATACTTTTGATCACTGTTCAATAACTGAGTGCGAGGGGGCTGGAGCGATAGCACAGCGGGTAGAGCGTTTGCCTTGCACGTGGCCGATCCGGGTTCGATCCTCAGCATCACAAATGGTCCCCCGAGCACCGCCAGGAGTAATTCCTGAGTGCAGAGCCAGGAGGAATCCCTGTGCATAGCCAGGTGTGACCCAAAAGGCAATAAATAAATTTAAAAAAAAAAGAACTGGGGGCTGGAGCAATAGCACAGCGAGTAGGGCATTTGCCTTGCACGTGGCCGACCTGGGTTCGATTCCCAGCATCCCATATGGTCCCCCGAGCACCGCCAGGAGTGATTCCTGAGTGCAGAGCCAGGAGGAACCCCTGAGCATTGCCGGGTGTGACCCAAAAAGCAAAAAAAAAAAAAAAAAAAAAAGAACTGAGAGAGAGAGGGGAGAAAGAAATGTCTCTGGTGAAGGAAGGCGGGTGTTGGAACAGGGTATGATTGAAATTCAATCATGAGCAACTTGGTATCTCATGGTGATTCAACTAAAAAGTGGGGCATAAAGAAATAAGTTGCATGTAAAATTTTGCAGAAAAAAATTTTAAAAATATTTTCTTTTGGGGGGGGCACAACCGGTGATAACTCAGGGGTTATTTCTGGCTCTGCACTCAGGAATCACACCTGGTAGAGTTCATGGGACCCTATAGAATGCCAGGGATCAAATCCACATGCGAGGCAAAAGCCCTTTCTGTTCTACCATCACTCCAGCCCCCATGGGTCGCCTATTGAGTGCAAAAGATTTTTTTTTCTTTTTGGGTCACACTGGCCATGCATAGGGGTTACTCCTGGCTCTGCACTCAGGAGTTACTCCTGGAGGTGCTCAGGGGACCATATGGGATGCTGGGAATCGAACCCGGGTCGGCCGCGTGCAAGGCAAACACCCTACCCGCTGTGCTATCTCTCCAGCCCCAAGAATTTATTTATTTTTATTTTTTTAATTTTTATTTTTTTGGCTTTTTGGGTCACACCCGGCGATACACAGGAGTTACTCCTGGCTTTGCACTCAGGAATCACTCCTGGCGGTGCTCAGGGGACCCTATGGGATGCTGGGAATCGAACCCGGGTTGGCCGCGTGCAAAGCAAACGCCCTACGCGCTGTGCTATCTCTCCAGCCCCAAGAATTTGTTTTTTTTTTTAAGGCAAGTGTCCTCAGGCTCAAGTACAGTTGAAAGGGCTTTGCCCTGCACCCCACCCGGGTTTGATTCCCATTGTCCACTGTGGTCCCCTGAGCACCTCCAGGAGAGCATCCCGAGTGAAGAGCATCTCCAGGTGTAATCCCCAAACCAAACCAAAGCAAAGAAATAAAGGCAATTGTCGTGGTTAGGAAATATAGCCTGAAGTAGCAGAATGATGGGGCTGGGGTGGGGGTGGGGGACGGAGATGGGGAAGAGTAAATGTGCCAAGAAAATTAAGGAGCGAAAAGAAAATTAAGGAGAGGAAGGAAGAAGGAGCCTTCTTGGGCTCCTGATCTGCAAGGTGGGGTCACAGTGCCCCCTGGTGGAGCCACTGTGGGATTGAAGCGGATGTAGGTGTAGTCGGGGGCGGGCACATGCTGGGGTTTCAGCACCCTGATGGCTTCAGTGTCCACATGTGTTGGGCTGGAGCAGCAGGACAGCAGGTAAGGTGCTGGCTTTGCACGCGGCCGAGCCAGGTTCTGCCCCTGACACAAAATATGCCCCCGCTCCAGCCCTGCCAGGAGTGATCCCTGAGCCCAGAGTCAGGAGTTAACCCTGAGCACTGTTGAGTGTGTCCCCCAAACAAAACACAGAATTTGTGTGCTTATTTGTTTTTGTTTTTTGGGGGGAGGGGACAACCAGCGATGATCAGGGGGTTACCCATGGCTCTCCACTCAGAAATTACTCCTGGTGGGTGCTTGGGGAACCAGACGGGATCAACCCAACGTGCCAAGCAAGCGCCCTACCCAGTGTACTATCTCTCCAGCCCCAAAACAAAAAGGACAAGAGGAAAAGCACCTTTTTTATACGCAGCTGACCCTGGTTCAATCCCTGGCACCATATATAGTCCCTTGAGCACCACCAGGAGTCACTCTTGTGCAGAGCCAGCAATGGGTCCCAGGTACCACCAAGAGTGGTGCAAAAATCAATAATAATAATAATAGATAATGGTAACCTGGAGAAAGTCGTGTAGCTTGCGCCTTGCACGCAGCTAAACCCAGTTCAATCCCGGCACCACATAACATCCCCCAGCACTGGGGGCTGGAGCAATAGCACAGCTGGTAAGGTGTTTGCCTTGCATGCAGCCAACCCAGGTTCGATTCCCAGCATCCCATATGGTCCCCCAAGCACCGCGAGGAGTAATTCCTGAGTGCATGAACCAGGAGTAACTCCTGTGCATCGCCGGGTGTGACCCAAAAAGCAAAAAAAAAAAAAAAAAAAATCCCCCAGCACTGCCAGAAGTGATCCCTGAGCACAACAGAGCCTGGAATAGCCCCTGAGCACCACCAAATGTGTCCCGGCAAAAAAAAGGAGGGGGGAGCACTGAGCCTAATTTGCATAAAAGAGGACTGAAGACTGGGGGGGTCTATATCCAGGAGCCCCAGAATTCATGCCCGGCGCCAATGCCTTCTCCTCTCTCCTCTTCGCCCTCCACAGGAAGATGCATTCCCAGAGCACACGCTTGGGGAGAGCTTGGAAGACCTCAGCCTGGACTTGGAGGCCCTTAAGGGCAGCGAGTATCTGAAGGACCTGAGCTTCGGGCTTCCCCTCCCTGGCCAGCCGGAGGGGGAGGTGCAGGGCCCCACGCCCGGCCCCGAGACACCCGGAGGAGGAGCGAAGCCCCGCCCCAACCCGTCCGGCTCTCAGGGAGTGCAGCGGAGGCGGAGCTGGGAGAGACCCCGGAGCTGCTCCTCGGAGACTAAGAGGAGGTCAGAGCCCACCGAGGCCGGGACCATCCGGGAAGGGCGGGGCTAGGACACGCCCACCAATAGGGGGCGAGGCAGGACACGCCTACCAATAGAGGACGTGGTTAGAACACGCCCATAATAAAGGGTGGGGCTAGGACACGCCCACCAATAGGGCGTGGCGAGGCACGCCTACCAATAGAGGACGTGTTTAGAACACCCCGTCAATAAGGGGCGGGACTAGGACACGCCCACCAATAGAGGACGTGGTTAGAACACGCCCCTCAATAGAGGGCGGGGCAAGAACACGCCCACCAATAGGGGCGTGGCGAGGCACGCCTACCAATAGAGGACGTGGTTAGAACACGCCCATAATAAAGGGCGGGGCTAGGACACGCCCACCAATAGAGGACGTGATTAGAACACGCCCCTCAATAGAAGGCGGGGCTAGAACACGCTCACCAATAGGGGCGTGGCGAGGCACGCCTACCAATAGAGGACGTGGTTAGAACACGCCCATAATAAAGGGCGGGGCTAGGACACGCCCACCAATAGAGGACGTGATTAGAACACGCCCCTCAATAGAAGGCGGGGCTAGAACACGCTCACCAATAGGGGCGTGGCGAGGCACGCCTACCAATAGAGGACGTGGTTAGAACACGCCCATAATAAAGGGCGGGGCTAGGACACGCCCACCAATAGGGCGTGGCGAGGCACGCCTACCAATAGAGGACGTGTTTAGAACACCCCGTCAATAAGGGGCGGGACTAGGACATGCCCACCAATAGAGGACGTGGTTAGAACACGCCCCTCAATAGAGGGCGGGGCTAGAACACGCCCACCAATAGGGCGTGGCGAGGCACGCCTACCAATAGAGGACCTGGTTAGAACATACCCGTCAATAAAGGGCGGGTCTAGGACACGCCCGCCAATAGGGGCGGGGCTAGGACATGCCCACCAATCGAAGGCGGGGTCGGAGCCAGAACACGCCCACCAATAGAATACGCCCTTCTGGGAAGAACGGGCACGAGATAGGACCTTCCAGGGTGGGTGGGGCCAGGACACGCCTACCAATAGAGGACGTGGTTAGAACACGCCCTTCGATAAGGGGAGGGGATAGGACACGCCCCCAATAGGGGCGTGGCGAGGCACGCCTACCAATAGACAACCTGGTTAGAACACACGTGTCAATAAAGGGCGGGGCTAGGACACGGCCGCCAATAAAAAGCAGGGCTAGGACACGCCCACCAATAGAAGGCGGGGTCGGAGCCAGAACATACCCACCAATAGAATACGCCCTTCCGGAAAGAATGGGCACAAGATAGGACCTTTCAGGGTGGGCGGGGCCAGGACACGCCTACCAATAGAGGGCTGGGCCAGGACACGGCAGCCAATAAGCGATAGTATGCAAATAGAAGGCAATAGGGGCTGGAGAGATAGCAAAGAGGGTAAGGCATGTGCCTTGCACGCGGCAGACCCGGGTTCGATTCCCAGCATCCCATATGGTCCCCTGAGCACCTCCAGGAGTAACTCCTGAGTGCAAAGCCAGGAGGAACCCCTGTGCGTTGCCAGGTGTGACCCAAAAAGCAAAAAAAAAAAAATAGAAGGCAATAGAAGGCGGGGTAGGAGCCAATAGAAAGCAAGATTAGATAGAAAGCAAGGCTAGGATACACCCATCCGGGAAGGTCTGGGCGTGAGCTGTGCCCTTTCGGGAAGGGCGGGGCGAGGACACGCCCACCGTGGAGGTGGGGCCAAAACACGCCCACTGGGAGAGGGCAGGGCCGTGGCATGCCCACCCGGGGAAAATCGGGCTGGGACAAGCTGTCAGCCCCTCCCTTCAATGGCATCTGTGTCTTGGGTGTGTGCTTGTGTGTGTGTGTGTGTGTGTGTGCTTGTGTGTGTGTGTTTGTGCCTGCTTGCTTGCTTGCCTGTGTGTTAGGTACCGTGATTTACAAGACTGTTCTTTTTTTTGGGGGGGGGGTCACACCCAACGTTGCACAGGGCTTACTCCTGGCTCATGCACTCAGGAATTACTCCTGGCGGTACCCGGGGGACCATGTGGGATGCTGGGAATCGAACCCGGGTCAGCCGTGTGCTAGGCAAACGCCCTACGTGCTGTGCTATGGCTCCAGCCTACAAGACTGTTCTTGATAGAGGTTTTTTGTTTGTTTGTCTTGAGTATTTTTTTTTTCTTTTTGGGTCACACCCTGCGATGCTCAGGGGTTGCTCCTGATTCCGCACTCAGGAATTATTCCCGGCGGTGCTCAGGGAACACTTTGGGATACTGAGGATCAAACCCGGGTCTGCCGCGTGCAAGGCAAACAGCCCTTCTGCTTTGCTTCCGCCCCTCTTGATGGAGTTTTACGCATGCAGTGTTCCAACACCACATTCCACCGGTATCCCTGCCTCCCTCAACCAACCCCCACACACTTCTGGTTGTTTTGTTTTTTTGTTTGTTTATTTTGGAAACACACCAAGTGTCCGCAGGGCCAACTTCTGGCTCTGTTCAGGAATCAGTCCTGGTGGGGCTTGGGAGATCCTATGGGATTTGGGGGATCAAACACGGGGTTGGCCACCTGCAAGGCAAGTACCCTACCCACTGTACTATCACTCCAACCCCCTCCAACTGCTCTGTGATATGGCCTGGTCCACCCTGTCTGCCCCAAGGGGCCATCTGCACCCCCCCCCACCCCGTCCTGCCTGATCAGATGTAGCAGCCAGGAGAGAAACTAGCTGACACCCCCACCTGTTCTGTCTCCTTCCCTTCAGGCTCAGCCTAGATGCTTCTGCCACAAGTGAGGGGCCTGGCCTCCCTCGGACCCTGGCCAGTCTGGCCCTGAACCTGTCTGGGGCTGGCTTGCAAATGTGGACCCGAGAATTTTGGCCTGGGCGCAGGATCCCAGCAGAGGCACCAGGCAAGGTGGGTGCCCCCTTCAGACCCCCCTCAAGACACGATGTGGGTGGGAAAAAGAACAGTTGTCCTGGATTGGGGGGAGGTCACCGCTCCTTTTTTTTTTTTTCTTTTTGGGTCACACCCGACAATGCTCAGGGGTAAGTCCTGGCTGTGCACTCAGGAACTACTTCTAGCAGTGCTTGGGGGACCATATGGAATGCCAGGGGGGATCGAATCCGGGTCAGCCATGTGCAAGGCAAATGCCCTTCCCACTGTACTATCGCTCCGGCCCCAGCTCATGGATTCTTGAAATGCTGGGGTTCAAGGCAGGGGATTCTTGGACATAAGTGGGGTTCATGGGAATGGGGGGGGCTGGAATACTGGCTTGTGGGGAAGGATGCCCAATTTGTGCTTGGAGTCTGTGATCAGGAAATTTCTGCTGGAAGGGCTAGAGCGATAGTACGACCAGGAGGGCGCTTACCTTGCATGTGGCTGACCCGGGTTCAATTCCCATCATCCCCTGAACACTGCCAGGAGTGATTCCTGAGTGCAGAGTCAGGAGTAACCCCTGCCGATTGCCAGATGTGTCCCCTCAAAAAAAAATTTTCTACTGGAGGTGGTATCCAAGACCATGCTTGGGATGACGTTGACCCGAAGTTCTGCATTATGGGGGGCTCAGTGGGGGGGGTTGGCTGTCTGGGGTGGTCACCCCTCAGTTCCTCCTTGGCTGCTATGGAAATCCAGTCCCTTCCCTATGGCCCAGGGGTAGGGCCCTCCCCATAGCACCCTGATGTGTGTAGATAGGGAGAGGGGGGTTCTCAACTTGCCTGGTGACTGTTCCCCTCACAGGAATGGGACAAGCCAGAGAGAAGACCGCGGTCTCTGTCAGTGCCCGTGAGCTCCTCAGAGCTCAGGATCCAGGAAAGGTTTCCAGCTCTGGAGGTCCTGACCCCGGAAGTTCAAGGTAGCTGGGGCTGAGGGCTCCCCCAACACCCACTTCCCAGCCAGTAAGGCTTCTACCTGAGGCTCCCCTGGTTTGGGCTCTGGCTGTGACCCCCAGAGAAAAGAAAGAGGCTGCAGGGCTGGGGAGGTGGCTCATTGGCTAATTCATCCAGCACTAGCCTACCGATGAAGCCTGGTGGACTGCCTGGAGGCAGTGGCCATACCCCTTCTGTCTCTCTCTGCCTATCTCCTGATTTGTCTCTGCGTGAGGATCTCTCTAGGGTCAGACCCACCTGTCTACATCCCATCCCTCATTTCTAGATGAAGGATGAGATGAGCGAAATGAGATGAGGTGGCGGAAGAGATGTTTGCCTTGCTTGCACCCTCCTGGGTTCCATTCCCGGCATGTCCTGGTTCCCTCCCCCAAGCACTGCTGAGGGAGGAGGGGTCCCGAGATCTCCTCAACACTGTTTGGGAGGTTCTGCTGTTGATAGTGGAGGTTCCCCCAGTGGCTTTAGTGAAGCATCAAGGAGGAATTTGAGGGGCTGGAGCAATAGCACAGCGGGTAGGGTGTTTGCCTTGCACACGGCCAACCCGGGTTCGATTCCCAGCATCCCATATGGTCTCCTGAGCACCGCCAGGAGTGATTCCTGAGTGCAGAGTCAGGAGTACCCCTGTGCATTGCCGGGTGTGGCCCCCCCCAAAAAAAGAAGGAATTTGATGAGCCTGGAGTGATAGCCTAGTGGGGAGGGTGCTAGCCTTGCACGTGACCAACCCAGTTCGATCCCTGGCACCCTATAGGGTCCCACAAGCACAGTCAGGAGTAATGCCTGAGCATTGCCGGGTGTGGTCCCCAAACAAATTTTTTTTTGTCACACCCGGCGATGCTCAGGGGTTACTCCTGGCTTTGCACTCAGAATCACTCCTGACAGTGCTCGGGGGACCATATGGGATGCTGGGAATCGAACCCGGGTTGGCCACGTGCAAGGCAAACACCCTATCCGCTGTGCTATTGCTCCAGCCCATCCAAACAAAAAAATTAATAAATAAATATATTTTTTTTATAAAAAGAAGGAAATTGATGGGGATGGAGCTATAGTATGGGGGGAGGGTACTTACCTTGAACTTTATTTTTTTTTTGCTTTTTGGGTCACACCTGGCGATGCACAGGGGTTCCTCCTGGCTCTGCACTCAGGAGTTACTCCTGGCGGTGCTCAGGGGACCATATGGGATGCTGGGAATCGAACCCGGGTCGGCCGCGTGTAAGACAAACGCCCTACCCGCTGTGCTATCTCTCCAGCGCCCCCCCCCCCAATTTTTTTTAAAGAAAAAATGATAAGATGCAAGGCACTTTCCTTGGGGTTCATTGAGGGCCTGGGGACCTTGGCACTCGCTGTCTCTCTCCCCCAGAAGAGCAAGGGGACACGGCCGCCACCTCTACAGGGTCCCCTGACCCCGGCTCGGGTGGAGGGAGGGTGGGGGTGCAGCCCAGAGTGTCTTCACCGCTGTTTTCTGCTTGGGGGGGATGACTGTGTCCAGGCCTGGAGCCCCCGTTGCTGGAGTGTGTGGAGAAAGACCACGTGGAGCCCGACCATGTGTGAGTGTCTGCGCCTGTACCCTGCAGGGAGGAACCCCCAAAGCCCTCGGGAGGATCCTGGCCTGCACCCCTAGAGGGTGCAACCGAGGGGCCGCCTGGGGCCAGTCACTGCTGCGGGTGTCGGGGGAGTTGACGGGGGTGGGGGTGGGGGGGGACACTGAGCTGCTTTATCTCGCACCCAGGCTGATGGTCCAGCAGGTACTGCAAGAATTACGACAGTTCCACGGGTATGAAAGGACAGCACGGGAGGGATGGAGGGGTCGGGGAGGGGACGCGGCTGGGGACACGGGTGGGACAGGCGTGGACAGGTGCGAGAATGGGGGTGGGAGAGGTTTGGGATAGACGTGAGACAGGTGAGGGGCAGCTGGCAGGTGTGGGGCGGGTCTGAGTGGCAGGTGTGGGGGCCGGAGTGATAGCACCGCGGGGAGGGCGTTTGCCTGGCACGCGGCCGACCCGGGTTCGATTCCCAGCATCCCATAGGGTCCCCTGAGCAACTCCAGGAGTAGATCCTGAGTGCATGAGGAACCCTGTGCATTTCCAGGTGTGACCCAAAAAGTGAAGAAAGAGAGAGAGAGAGAGAGAGAGAGAGAGAGAGAAAGAGAGAGATGCGGGTCCCAGCATGCAGTAGGCAGGGATGGGGCGACTGTGCAGGAGACAGGGGGATATGGAAGAAGGGGACCAGACAGGGGCAGGCAGCTGACCCCAGTGTCCACCCCCTCTGCTCCCACAGCGTCCGGCAGAGGGCCCACTTGTCAACCAGTCCCGGAGGGGCCCACTCCAACCTCACCTGGTTTGAGTTCCTGTCCGAGTAAGTCCTCAGAACCTCGCGCGTGCGGGGGCCAACACGCTGTGCCAACGACCTTCTCTGCCTGGCCTAAGCTGGTTCCCTCCTTCTTCTCACGGGGACCACCACCAGGGCCACCACTGGGGTAACAGGAGAGGGGTCTCCTCGTTCACTGTATGAGGGCAGAGGAAGACTTTCTGGAGGAGGTGAGAGCTGGAGCCGGGTTCTGATGGATGAGTAGGAGTTGGCCAAAATATGGAGATGAGGGGGCTGGAGCAATAGCATAGTGGGTAGGGCGTTTGCCTTGCACGCGGCCGACCCGGGTTCGATTCCCAGCATCCCATATGGTCCCCTGAGCACCGCCAGGGGTAATTCCTGAGCGCAGAGCCAGGAGTAACCCCTGTGCATTGCCGGGTGTGACCCAAAAAGCAAAAAAAAATAAATAAATAAAATATGGAGATGAAATGGGGAAAGAAAATGGTGCCTTTGGAGGGAACTGCATGGCCTAGGGAAGGGGGTCCTGGTGGTCTGGGTGGAAGGAAGGTGTGCAGTGTCTGTGGAGACCAGGTGACCTTGGTGCGGAAGGAGGCTGGCCTTCCTCAAATAAACAAACCAAAAATGGTTTTGTTTTTCTGGGTTTTGATTTTTGGGGCCACACCCAGCATGCTCAGGGCTGGCTCCTGGCTCTGCACTCAGGGATCACTCCTAGCGGGCTCAGGGGACCCTAGAGGATGCTGGGGATGGAACCCAGGTTGGGCACGTGCAAGGCAACCGCCCTCCCCACTTGTTCTATCATCCCAGTCCCTCGACTTTTACTCCAAAGGGGGTAGGAACATCTGGAAAACCAGCTCCCAGGTCACTGATGATAACCCGGGAGCAAGGGGCACACACAGACCATACCTGGTTGTTCCTTTATTCCATGAGGTGGCCTGCCAGGAACTCTGACAGGCGCCGGGGAGCGGGGAGCAGGGGAAAGCCCATTTGGGGGCCACTGGAAGGATGGGCAGGGGTGAAAGGTTGCTGAGATGAGGCAGGGGAGAGGCCGGGGCTGGACAGAACCAAGGAGGCAGCCTCTGGCCACTGTGGATTAGACCAGGTCCATCCCCATTGCCTTTCCGGAACTCGGAAAACTGCCTGGTGATTGAATGTGTGTGTGTGTGTGTGTGTGCATGTGTGCATGCCCATCATATTATCTCGTTCTTACTTTGGACAACCTGGCAGGCTACCGAATGTAACCTGCCCACACGGCAGAGTCTGGCAAACTCCCCGTGGCGTACCCAATATGCCAAATACCAGTAACAATGATGGGTCTCATTCTCCTAACCCTGAAAGAGCCTTGAATATGGCCCTTTTTAAAATCTCAGGGCTGGGGCTGGAGCAATAGCACAGCGAGTAGGGCGTTTGCCTTGCACGCGGCCGACCCGGGTTCGATTCCCAGCATCCCATATGGTCCCCTGAGCACCGCCAGGAGTTAACTCCTGAGTGCAGAGCCAGGTGTATCTGCTGTGCGTTGCCGGGTGTGACCCCCCCAAAAAAAAATCTCAGGGCTAGGACGAAGGAGACGTTACTGGTGCCTGCTCGAGGCAATCGACGAACAACAGGATGATCGTGATCGTGATCGTGACGTGTGCATTATGTGTGTGCAGTGTGTGTATGGATATATGTGTGTATGAGTATGTGTGTGTTGTGGGGGGGGGCAGGGGGTAGTTCGGGACCAGAGAAGAGGGGAAACAGGATGAGAACCCACGGGAAGATGGGGTGTGGGTGCCTCCAGCAGGGCTGGCTCCAAACGCCCCCCTTGCACCCCACTTCTCATCTCTTCTTATCCTTTAGGACGGATGATGGTGCTGGCAAGGCCGAGAGGATCCCCCGGGGTGTCGGGGTGAAACGCAGGCTGAGCTGCCTCCGCAGCCGAGTCACCAGGCAGAAGGAGAAGGTCAGTGTGTGCAGGGTGGCCCCTGACCTGAGAATCTCATGATTAAGGGGGGAAGGGGCGGGGCGGGGGGGGAGATAGGGGAGCAGGTCCTGGCAGCACCCGGCATGCTAAGGTCCATCTCGGGGCTCCCCCTCCAGGTGAAGAGCCCGGGAGTGCCCAAGGACAAGGGCCAGGACATCAGGGAGAGGAGAGAAAGTGCCGGCCAGTCCTCCCCGAGCACCGGTAGGTCGGGGTCCACTCGGACCCTTCCCTTTCATCTCCTCCACATTGCAGCCTCACTAGCTGTCATCTCCCTCCCTATGCCCCCCCCCCAACTTGCCGGCACACCTCAGTTTGCAAAATCGGGGTTGGAAGGCGCAGCAGGTTGGGGGAGCATCTCTGTGAATGGAAAATTGCAACCCAGAGGCGGCTGGATCCCTAGAAATGGCATTTCTTGGGGGTTCTGGAGGTATCGGCTGGAGGGGGATCTAGACGGGGATCTAGAGATAAATGAGCAAGAGGAATCTGGAGGGGGATCTGGACGGGATTTGGAGGGGAATCTGGGGATCTGGAGGGGGATCTGGAGGGGATCTGGGGATCTGGAGGGGATTTGGAGGGGAATCTGGGGATCTGGAGGGGGATCTGGAGGGGATCTGGGGATCTGGATGGGATTTGGAGGGGAATCTGGGGATCTGGAGGGGGATCTGGAGGGGATCTGGGGATCTGGAGGGGATTTGGAAGGGAATCTGGGGATCTGGAGGGCATCTGGAAGGAATCTGGAGGGGAATTTGGGGATCTGGAGGGGGATCTGGAGGGGGATCTGGAGGGGATCTGGGGATCTGGAGGGGATTTGGAGGGGAATCTGGGGATCTGGAGGGGGATCTGGAGGGGATCTGGGGATCTGGAGGGGATTTGGAGGGGAATCGGGGGATCTGGAGGGGGATCTGGAGGGGATCTGGGGATCTGGATGGGATTTGGAGGGGAATCTGGGGATCTGGAGGGGGTTCTGGAGGGGATTTGGAAGGGAATCTGGGGATCTGGAGGGCATCTGGAAGAAATCTGGAGGGGAATTTGGGGATCTGGAGGGGGATCTGGAGGGGGATCTGGAGGGGATCTGGGGATCTGGAGGGGATTTGGAGGGGAATCTGGGGATCTGGAGGGCATCTGGAAGGAATCTGGAGGGGAATTTGGGGATCTGGAGGGGATTTGGAGGGGATCTGGGGATCTGGAGGGGATTTGGAGGGGAATCTGGGGATGTGGAGGGGGATCTGGAGGGGATCTGGGGATCTAGAGTGCATCTGGAAGGGATCTGGAGGGGAATTTGGGGATCTGGAGGGGATTTGGAGGGGATCTGGAGGGGAATCTAGGGATCTGGAGGGTGTCTGGGGATCTGGAGGGAATCTGGAGGGGACCTGGAGGGAAATCTAGGGATCTGGAGGGGGTCTGGAGGGGATCTGGAGATGTCTGAGGTGTAGCTGTTAGCAGGGCGAGGTAGGGCTCTCTCTGGAGGTGCTGGAACAGGGGGTCTCCCCTGACATCTGGCTATTTCTTGGTGGGGGTGCAGAATGCTGGTTTCTCCGCACCTTGCCTTCAGCCACGTATGAGTTTGTCATTAGTGCTGTTGGTTTGTGTTGTTTTGTGCTTTGGGGACCACACCTGGGGGTGCTCAGGGGTTCTCAGGCTCAGGGACCCTAGGGGATGCTGGGCATAGAACTCGGTCAGCCCCATGCAGGGCAAACGCCCTAGCCGCTGTACTATCCTTCTAGCCGCCCCCCCCCCCCCCGTTCAAGTCTGGGTCTCAGTTTGGCACCTGTGGTCGCTCATCTGGACTCAGCACATGCTTGGAAACATGCCTTTCCAAATAAGGCCACTTTGGGGGCTTGTGGGGGGCCGTGGGACCAGGCACTGTCCCCCCCAGAGCTCCCTGAGATGGAAGGAAAGTTGAAGGGGGCGGGGGGGGAGTGAGGTTGAGTGACTTGGAGCCAGGGACAACTGCACTGGCATGGGGGGGCCGGGGGGTGGAGAGCCCAAGGCCACGGAGGGGCCTAAAAGGAGACAAATGATCAAGAAATGGAAGAGGCAGGGCTGGAGAGATAGCACAGCGGGTAGGGCGTTTGCCTTGCACGCGGCCAACCCGGGTTCGATCCCCGGCATCCCATATGGTCCCCTGAGCACCTAATTCCTGAGTGCAGAGCCAGGAGTAAGCCCTGTACATCTCCAGGTGTTACCCAAAAAGAAAAAAAAAGAGAGAGAGAGAGAGGGAGAGAGGGAGGGAGAGGAGGAATGCAGGCAGGGACAGAGGGACAGAGAGGGGGAAGCAGGGGAGGGGGGAGGAGATTCTGAGACGCCTGACTTGGGGGTGCTTTTCCCAGCCTAGCCATCCTCTGCCCCCCACAGTCCTCCAAGTCCTTTCCGTTTTGAAAAAGTGGGGGAGGGGGTATTGAGCACGAAATACAGTTACTCCCAGGTTTTACCAACCCCGACAGCCAGCCTCTTCCTAGGAAATCAGGGGCTTCCCCCAAATCACCTTATCGCCATAACAAAGGAGACCTTTGTCCTCCTCAGCACCCGGACAAAGGTCTGCTGGGTGGGTGACAGATCTTGGGGAGGGGGCCTGGCTCTCTGGATGGTCCTTGGGTGGGGAGGCTGTCCCCTACCTTCAGCCCCATCTCCCTGAATTGAACTGCCAGAAATGCCTCCAGATGCCCAAATGCCCCCTGAGGGACTGACCCTCCCCCCAGAGCCAGAGACAGAGAGTTAGAGGGGGAATAAAGTATTTTCTTTTTTTCTTTTTTCAAACATCTTATTTATTTATTTATTTATTTATTTATTTGGCTTTTTTTTGGGGGTCACACCCGGTGATGCACGGGGGTTGCTCCTGGCTCTGCACTCAGGAATTACTCCTGGCGGTGCTCAGGGGACCCTCTGGGGTGCCGGGGATTGAACCTGGGTTGCCGTCATGCAAGGCAAAGGCCCTACCCACTGTACCCATCGCTCCTGCCCCGAATGAAGTTTTTTTCTTTCTTTTCTTGGGCAACACCAAGGGATGCTCAGGGATCACTCCTGGCTGGCTTGGGGGATGAGGGGGAGTGCCAGGAATCATCCGCGTGCAGGACCAGCATCCTCCCCGTTGTCTATTGTCCTCTCTCTCTCTCTCTCTCTTTTTTTTTTTTGCTTTGAAGAGTAACATAAATTTTAATTGAGATCTATTCACTTATACATTCTGGGCTTCCCTCTCTGCACATACACTTTTTTTCCTCCCTATTTTTCCCACTGTCTTGTAGGAATTATCTAAAATTCTCTGAAAAGGATTAATCTTTTGCTCTTTGATACTATGGGGTTTTTTTTTGTATTTATTTATTTATTGAATCACTGTGGGAAAAGTTACAAAGCTTTCAGATTTAAGTCTCGGTCACGCAAATCTCAAACACATTTCCCTTTACCAATACTTATTTTTCACCACGAAGAACCCCAATAAACCCGCCCCCCCAACCCTCCCAATGCCTGTGAGGCAGGTGAATTCTAGTTAACACTCTATCTGCTTTGATTAGATCCATTGTTTCGACAAAAGATGCACCATTATTATTTAGAGTTTACACCCCCAAATCAGACCTGCTGAAAAGGCATTGTGAGATAATTTGTTTTCTGCAGCTGGTCACAATAATTAAATAATGTCGGGTGGCCGCAATAGCGGCCGCGTGATTTTGGATTTCTGATATGTTACTTATTAAGCCTGGAAGTATTTCTGCTGAGAGTCAGATAATTATGAGATTGGTTTCTGTGCTCTGGAGCCATGGCCGTGCCGGAGAGCCGCTCGTGGGGGGCAACTGGTGACCTTGGTAGGGCGTGAAGGATGAGTCGGGAATGCCCCCCTTCCCAAGTGTCCCCTCTCTTTTGAGCCCTGTTTTTGCTTTGACGCTTAGGGGCCACCACTAAAAAAGGGTCACTCCCAACTCAGTGCTCAAAGGTCACCTCCAACCTGCCGGGGGTCAAGCCTAGGGTGCCCATGTGCTTAGCACATGCCCCAGTCCCTGCCTCGTTGGGGTTTCTTTATTTGTTTTATTTGGGGGCCTCATCCAGCAGTGCTCAGGGCTTCCTCCTGGTTCTGTGCTCAGGGATTTTTCCTGGCAGGCTTGGGAGACCCTATGGGGTCCCAAGGATCGAACCTGGGTCAGGCACAGACAAGGCGGTCTCTTCCTGCTGTGACCCCATATCTCCCCAATTCCACCCACCCCCCACTTTGGGAAACCTCAAGGCTGAAGTCTTGGGCTGAATTCCAGATCCCAGATATTCCATTTCAAGTCCGCCCTGAGTTTTCTCTGGGGGTTCCTTTTTCTTTTTTTCTTTTTCTTGGGGTGGGGGGGAGGCACACCCAGCAATGCTCAGGAGTTCTTCAGGCTCTGTACTTAGAAATCACTCTTGGGGGCTGGAGTGATAGCACAGCGGGGAGGGCGTTTGCCTTGCATGCGGTTGACCCGGGTTTGATTCCCAGCATCCCATATGGTCCCCCGGGCACCGCCAGGTGTAATTCCTGAGTGCATGAACCAGGAGTAACCCCTGCGCATTGCCGGGTGTGACCCAAAAAGCAAAAAAAAAAAAAAAAAAAAAAAGAAATCACTCTTGGCTGTGCTCAGGAGATCCCATGGGATGCCGGGGATTGAACCCACATCAGCCACGGGCAAGCTGAGTGCCCCTCCCCCACTGTACCATCACTCCTCCCGGGCAATAGGTGTGGCCAGGGGGACCCTCATGGGGTTACAGCGCGTTGCCCACAGCAGTTGTGAGCTCTGTTCCCTCAGCCACATAGACCCCTGAGCACTGCTAGTGTGTCCCCCTTCAAAAAAAAAACAAAAAAAAAAAATAGGAGCTGGAGCGATAGTATAGTGTCTCTTGCACATGGTCAACCCGGGTTCGATCCTCAGCATTCCCTAGGGTCCCTGGAACATCTCCAGGAGTGATCCCCGAGCATCGAATCAGGAGGAAGCCTTGAACATCGCTGGGTGTGGCCCCCCAAATCAAAAAAATTAAAAAGCGACCTTCCTTCGTCACCTGCTTCAAGGACCGGTGACTATTCATTCCTTCTCTGTTCTTGGGGAGTGAGTCACCCCATCGAGTGGCCTCCTCTGAGGAAGAATGGAATCTAGTTCCTCCTTGTAGGGGTGTCATTTGTTTTCAGGGCAACTCTTGAGCTCCAGGGAGGTTTGAGTGGATCAAGGAGAGGATGAGGGTAACACTTAGCAGGATGCCCAAGAGATCTCTTCTGGGTCTCTAAACATCCCATCTCCATCAGTTGTTGTCCTAAAAGGGTTTTGGTGGGGAGGGGGGCGGGTCGGAATGATAAGACAGTGGGGAGAGAGATTGCCTTGCACACAGCTGACCAGGGTTCCATCCCTGGCACCCATAGGATCTCCGAGCCTTGCCAGGAATGATCCCAGAAGCCCTGAGCACCACTGGGTATGACAAAACAAAACAAAACAAAAGAAGACTTTTAAGGGGCCTGGAGAGACCATACTGGGGAGAGGCATTTGCCCCACACGCAGTTGATCCAAGTTTCATCAGTTGATCCAAGTTTCATCCCTGACACCCAGAGGGTCCCCGAAGCTCCACCAGGAGTAATCCCTGAGCACAGAGTCAGGAGGAAACCCTGAACACTGCTAGACATGACTCCAAACCTCAAAAAAAAGGATAAGTGGAAGGGTGGGGAGAGTTAGGACAGCAGGCAGTGCACTTGCCTTGCACACAGCAGACCCAGGTTCGATCCCTGGCACCTCAGAGACCGCCAGGAGTGACCCTTGAGTGCAGAGCCAGGAGTAAACCCTGACCATGGGTGGGGGGGGGGGTCACACCCAGCAACCCTGACCAAAACCAAACAAAATGAATAAGCAGGATAACCTTGTCTCACTCCCACTGGAAGTGTTTTTTTGTTTTGGTTTGGTTTTTAGTTTTTTGGGTCACACCAGGAGATGCTCAGGGGTTGCTCCAGGCTCCGCACTCAGGAATTACTCCTGGCAGCGTTTGGGGGACCCTATGGGGTGCCGGGGATCAAACCCAGGTCAGTTGTGTGCAAGGCAAATGCCCTCCATGCTCAAGCTCTCCCACCGGAAGTGTAGGCCCAGGAATCACACCCCCGACAACAAGGTCAGTCTGCAAAGCCAGGTTTCTCTGTGGCCTAGAGGAAGCTCACCAAGGTAAGGAAGATTCCAGCAAACAGCATGAGTCACTTCATGCTGCACTTAGCCGACACGGGTTTGGGTAGAAACACCAAGATTTCCCCCAAGACCAGCCCCGCTGATGGCGCCCGTCTGGACTGTCCAGTTCCAGCCTCCACCAAGCAAGGCCCTGGCTGGCCCTGACCCCCTCCGTCCTTCTCTCCCACTTCTCAGCGCCCCTGAGATCCCCAGATGCTCCCAGAACTTGCTCTGCTGCCTAAGTCTTACTCACCCTTTTTATTACCATGTTCAGGAAGCCACGGGTGACAGACCCCCAAATGACAGTGTCTAACTTCAGTGGTCCTTAACACCTCAGCATCTTTGTCCTCTCCCCCCACCTAGAACCATGCCTGAAGATAGTTTGGCTTATCAAGATTTGGGGTGTCTCGGGGCAGACGCTTGTCTTGCATGCAGCTGGGTTCGATCCCCGACATCCCATACGGTTCCCTCAAGCACCGCTAGGAGTAATTTCTGAGGGTCAGAGCCAGGAGTAAGCCCTGAGCACTGTTGGGTGTGACCCCCAAACAAAACAAAACTTGGGGTGTCTTGACATTCAGTGGGTAGCGGTGGGAGGGGGCTTTTCAACATCTTCCAACTCCCAGAACAGCTTCTAGAGATTGACATTGGGGTGAGCTTGAGAAAGTCCCCCCCACCCCATCCCCTGGTCTTCTTAGCTCTTAGCAGGATACAGCTCCACCCCCTTGAGAAAGACTCACAAACGCATAAAAGTGAGAAGTGACAAAAAAAAGACAAGAGGTGCAGATCAGGGGCTGGAGTGATAGTACAGTGGGTAGGGCATTTGCCTTGCATGCAGCTGACCTGGGTTCGTTCCCCAGCATCCCTTATGTCCCCGTAATTCCTGAGTGCAGAGCCAGGAGTAACCCCTGAGCATTGCTGGGTGTGACCCAAAAAGAAAAAAAAAAAAAGAACAGAGATGGAGGTCAAAAGCCCTTGGGTTAGGGCGAAGGGTAGAATTGCCTCCCTCTGAAATAACTGCATTGAGCTGCATTCCCTTGAATGCACCCGGTTCTATCCCAGGCACCGAACTGACAGCACAGAGCCAGGAGTAGCTACTGAGCACATGGGGTGTGCCCCCAAATGAAAATAAAACTGAGAGGCTAGAGCGATAATACAGTAGGTAGGGCGTTTGCCTAGCACATGACCAACCTGGGTTTAATCCCTGGTATCAGATAGGGTCGCCTGGGCACTGCCAGGGCTAACTCCTGAGCACAGAGCCAGAAGTAATGCCTGAGCAAAGGGCCACTCCTAAGTGTGGCCAAAAAAGGAAGAAAAAAAAAAAACAACTGAAAGGTCCCATGAACTTTTGGGGCTCAAAAGGCTCTTTGCATTGGGATTTCTTATTTTGGTTCGGTTTGGGGGCTACACATGGCTGTGTTCAGGGTGGACTCTTAGCTCTGCATTCAGGAATTACTCCCTGCAGAGCTTGGGAGATCCTATGGGGGTGCTGGACATCAAACCGGGTTCAGCTGTGTGCAAGACAAGTGCCCGCCCCGCTGTCCTAAGACTCCACGATCACGACCATCCTGTTATTCGTCAATTGCCTCGAGCAGGCCCCAGTAACATCTCCTTCGTCCTAGCCCTGAGATTTTTTAAAAAGTGCCATATTCAAGGCTCTTTCAGAGTTAGGAGAATGAGACCCATCATTGTTACTGGTATTTGGCATATTGGGTACGCCACAGGGAGTTTGCCAGACTCTGCCGTGTGGGCAGGTTACATTCGGTAGCCTGCCAGGTTGTCCAAAGTAGGAATGAGATAATAAGATGTCCTAAGACTCCAGCCTCTATTATTTCTAATAGTTCTTGGGAAAAAGTGTCTGTGCTTTGGGAGTATTTTGCATGTTGTTGACAGTTTTGTTTTGGTTTGGGGGTGATTCCTGACAGTACTGGGGTGCAGAGGGGAGACAGTTATGCAGTGCTTCCAAACCCTGGCCTCTCCTCTGTGTATCACACTCCAGCCCAGCCCTCTGAGTCCTCTCCCAGCTGTTTTTTTTTTTTTTAATTTTATTTTATTTTTGACTTTTTGGGTCATACCCGGCGATGCACAGGGGTTACTCCTGGCCCTGCACTCAGGAATCACTCCTGGAGGTGCTCAGGGGACCCTATGGGATGCTGGGAATCGAACTCAGGTCGGCCGCGTGTAAGGCAAACGCCCTACCGGCTGTGCTATCACTCCAGCCCCCAGCTGTTTTTTTTTTTAAGATTATGAAAGTTAATTTTGGGGTGAGGTGTCTCGCCTATTTTCTGGGACGCGCGTGATACATGGCTTGGCTATCTGATGGCACCTGTCTGAGTGTCTGGTATGTGTTTGGGGGTGCTTGATGCTATCTCTTGGGGAGTCTAGAACCATCTGAGCGGGACTGACTAATCTTCGCAGGGAACAGATCTGCTTTCTTTTTTTTTCTTCTCCATTTCTGTTCTCTCTCCCCTCACATTTCTCGCTTAGGATTCCAGACCCCCAGGCACCCACTGATAATTATCATGCAGGCACCCCCAAATACCCACGGGTCTGCCTTAGGGACAGAAACCTTCTCAGTTTTTTGGTTTTTTTTTTTTGCTTTTTGGGTCACACCCCGCGATGCACAGGGGTCACTCCTGGCTCATGCACTCAGGAGTTACTCCTGGCGGTGCTCGGGGGACCCTATGGGATGCTGGGAATCGAACCCGGGTCGGCCGCGTGCAAGGCAAACGCCCTCCCCGCTGTGCTATCTCTCCAGCCGGAAACCTTCTCAGTTTTGCTTATCACCCACCCAGACTCCTGCTAATCCCACCAAACCCTCTTAGGGGTTCCCAGGCTGGCTCCTGTGAATTGCGCCGCCCGCCTGCGTGCACGGGGCCAACCTGGGGTCGGCCCCCGGGCACCCCAAAAGGGTCCCTCGAGCCCACCAGGAACGATCCCTAAGCACCACCTGGGTGTGTGTCCCCCCAAAAAGCACCCACCACCTCCGCGCCAGCACCCCTCCCCCCTCTCCAGCCCGCGAATCCTCCCACGAGACCGCGCGGACGCCGCCTGCGGCTCCGGCTTCAGCCGCAAGCCCCGACCTTGACTCCCCAAACCCACGAGCCCAGGAGACCCCGCCCCCTTCCGGGTTCACGCCCCCACGCGAGCCACGCCCACCGGCGGGTGGGGGCGTGTCCGCGCACGCGCGCACCGGCCCGCGCGCCTTCCCGCTTCCGGCTCGGCGCCGCTGGCGGCTGTTGCAGCCGGGGAGGTTGGACGGCGGCGGCTGGGGCGATCGGAGGCGCGGGCGGGCAGCGCCGGACACCGGGCGGAGGCGAGGTGAGCAGGGCAGGGCGGGTCCGAGGAGAACGGGACGCGGGAATGCAACGGGGAGCCGTCGGGAGCCGTCGGGCGCGGGACCCCCCGAGGTTGCCTGGGCTCCTCCGGGCTGGCGCGCCGGTGCAGGGGGGCTCGGTGGAGGGGCAGCCGCTGCCCGGGGAGCCCTGCAAGCCCATCGTCCTTCCTTCTGCAGGGGGGGGCCCAGTGCGACCCCTCCTCAGATCTGGAGCCCAGCAAGGTCCTGGGGCTCCAGGGTCCCGAGCGGCTGGGGCCGGCCTGGTGGGAAGGGGCGACAGCCCTGCCCCACCCCCACCCGCCAGACCACCAGATCCCCCCGTCCCGGGGCTCCAGCGAGGGCTACGAAGTCCCCCTGAGCCCCTTAGAGCTGGTCCCGGGACCCCCTGCCCCAGAAGATCCCGCCTTAGTGCTGGTCCCGGGACCCCCTGCCCCAGAAGACCCCGCCTTAGTGCTGGTCCCGGGGACCCCCCCAGAAGATCCCGCCTTAGTGCTGGTCCCGGGGACCCCCCCAGAAGATCCCGCCTTAGTGCTGGTCCCGGGGACCCCCCCAGAAGATCCCGCCTTAGTGCTGGTCCCGGGGACCCCCCCAGAAGATCCCGCCTTAGTGCTGGTCCCGGGGACCCCCCCAGAAGATCCCGCCTTAGTGCTGGTCCCGGGACCCCCTGCCCCAGAAGACCCCGCCTTAGTGCTGGTCCCGGGACCCCCTGCCCCAGAAGATCCCGCCTTAGTGCTGGTCCCGGGGACCCCCCCCAGAAGATCCCGCCTTAATGCTGGTCCCGGGACCCCCTGCCCCAGAAGATCCCGCCTTAGTGCTGGTCCCGGGGACCCCCCCAGAAGATCCCGCCTTAATGCTGGTCCTGGGACCCCCTGCCCCAGAAGACCCCGCCTTAGTGCTGGTCCCGGGACCCCCTGCCCCAGAAGATCCCGCCTTAGTGCTGGTCCCGGGGACCCCCCCAGAAGATCCCGCCTTAATGCTGGTCCCGGGACCCCCTGCCCCAGAAGACCCCGCCTTAGTGCTGGTCCCGGGGACCCCCCCAGAAGATCCCGCCTTAGTGCTGGTCCCGGGACCCCCTGCCCCAGAAGATCCCGCCTTAGTGCTGGTCCCGGGACCCCCCCCTCAGAAGATCCCGCCTTAGTGCTGGTCCCGGGACCCCCTGCCCCAGAAGATCCCGCCTTAGTGCTGGTCCCGGGACCCCCCCCCTCAGAAGACCCCGCCTTAGTGCTGGTCCCGGGACCCCCTGCCCCAGAAGATCCCGCCTTAGTGCTGGTCCCGGGACCCCCCCCCCTCAGAAGATCCCGCCTTAGTGCTGGTCCCGGGACCCCCTGCCCCAGAAGATCCCGCCTTAGTGCTGGTCCTGGGGACCCCCTCCCCCAGAAGATCCCGCCTTAGTGCTGGTCCCGGGACCCCCCCCTCAGAAGACCCCGCCTTAGTGCTGGTCCCGGGACCCCGCACACCCCCCAGAAGATCCCGCCAAGTTGCATGCGCGCGCTGCTTTGGGGGTCTTGCCAGTTGCCAGTTGGTCGCTGCACTTGGCGGCTCAGAGGAAGGAGGATGACGAGCAAAATGCAGCTTTGCAGGAATCCGAGCGCCCGAGTCGTTTTTTTTTTTTTGCACCGTTTCTGCTAACTTTCGCCCCCCTCTTTGACCTGTTGCTGCGTGGAGGTGGGAAGGGGCCGGAGCTGGCCAGGCTGCAGGGGATAAGGGGCTTGTGCACGTGCGGAGACTTAACTCTTTGGGGAGGGGGGAGTTCACAGCCAGCAGTGCTCAGGGCTTACTTAACCTGACTGTGCTCAGGGATCTTTCCTGGCAGGGCGCTGGGGAACCAACCATATGGGGTGCTGCTGGGGATCGAACCCGGTAGGGCCCCTGGTGCGACTGCAAGTGCCTTTCCCGCTGTTTCCTTGTCCTTGGTCCCCAGCTGTGAAGAAACACACATCCTTCTGCCCCCCTCCCACCTTTGCTTCCTTCCTTCCTTTTTGGAGTGTGTGTGTGTTGGGGGGAGGCTGACCCACTGCTGGGATCGTGTGTATGTGTATGTGTGTGTGTGTGTGTGTGTGTGTGTGTGTGTGTTTGTGTTGATCTCTCCTCCTGGAGACAGTCTGGACCAACCCCCAGGGCCAAGGGCGATCATTTGGGGATGAGGTCGCAGGTATGTGGGTGAATGATTAACCTGACGCCTTATGAAGAGAAGCGGCCAGCAAGCACACAGCGCGCACACACACACGGGTTGCGTGTCTGAATTGCCATCCTGGGGCCCGGAGGGATAGTACAGCGCGGAGGGCACTTGCCTGGCACAGGACTGACCTGGGTTCGATTCCAGACATCCCCTAGTTCCCCCACCACCACCACCCCCCACTCCAGGCCTGCCAGGAGTGATCCTTGAGTGCAGAGCCAGGAGTCAGGCCCGAGCATCATTGGTGGGTGTGACCACCCCCAAAACAAACAGAACTGCCATCTGGGTTCTTGATCCCCGTCGGGCCGGTTGGGTTTTTGATCCCCGGTTGTTTTTTTTTTTTTTTTTTTTGCTTTTTGGGTCACACCCGGCGATGCACAGGGGTTCCTCCTGGCTCTGCACTCAGGAGTTACTCATGGCGGTGCTCAGGGGACCCTATGGGATGCTGGGAATCGAACCCTATGGGATGCTGGGAATCGAACCCGGGTCGGCCGCGTGCAAGGCAAACGCCCTACCCACTGTGCTATCTCTCCAGCCCCCCCCCCCCCCTTCCCGGTTGGGTTTTTGATCCCCATCGGGTCCGTTGGGTTCTTGCCACGGATGGGCAGGTCACTTCGGAAAGTCTCTGGGTCTGGGAAAGGGGAATGTGGGTTTCTCTGGTGGCAGGAGGGACGTACTGAGGAGAACTCAGGTTGCGGGTTTGCGTCGCGGGCCTTGGGCATGGCCCTGGCCCCAGGCTCCTAGTTTGGTGCTTGTTGTCTGAACTGGGTCCGAGTTCTCCAACTCCTTTGCCATAGCTGGGGGTCAAGCCCTTGGGAGAGGTGATCGCGGGAGAGCACATGTGCGACCCGCAGACGGAATAAATCCCATTCTGGGGAGATGTTGGGGTGGGGGCGTTGCTGGCTGTGCTCAGGACTGACTCGTGGCTCTGTGCTCCAGGATCACTCCTGATGGGGCTCAGGAGATCCCGTGCGGGGACTGGGGATTTGAACCTACGTCGGCTGCGTTCAAGGCAAACACCCTCCCCCTGGAGGGGTCTCTCTAGCCCCTCAGGTCCTTTTTTTTTTTTTTTTTTTTTTGCTTTTTTTTGGGTCACACCCGGCGATGCACAGGGGTTCCTCCTGGCTCATGCACTCAGGAATTACTCCTGGTGGTTCTCGGGGGGACCCTATGGGATGCTGGGAATCGAACCCGGGTCGGCCACATGGAAGGCATTACCTGCTGTACTATCACTCCAGGCCCCCCACCCCCCACCCAGTTTCATATTGATGGAGGAAGTTTACTTTGATTTTGAGTCTAGCAGATGTCCTCTGGGAGTGGCCTACAGAGAAATAGGGGGAAAGTAAGCTTTTCATTCTTTTTCCCTTTCTTTCTTTCTTTTTTTCTTTCTTTCTTTCTTTTTTTTATCCTTTTGGTTACTCTTCATAAGTACTGAAATGACCATTCTCTGCTAGTACTGAGGTTACAAATACATGTTACTGACTGGCGAGTTTGTAAATTCTATTATTACTATTATTTTTTAATTTGATTTTGTTTTGGGGGGGTCACACCCGGCGATGCACAGGGGTTACTCCTGGCGCTGCACTCAGGCATGACTCCTGGCGGTGCTCGGGGGATCATATGGGATGCTGGGAATCGAACCTGGGTCGGCCGCGTGCAAGGCAAACGCCCTCCCCGCTGTGCTCTCTCTCCAGCCCCTCTTTTGCCCTTTCTTGTTTCCGTTTTTATTTTTTATTTTTGAGGGGGTTGCTCAGGTCTTAAACTCCTGGCTCTAAGATCAGTGCTCACCCTCTGGGGGGGATGCTTTTGAGGGCCATGTATGGTGCTGGGGATCGAACTGGGGTCGGCCGCCTGCAAGGCGAGTGCCCTACCCACAGTGCTCTCTCTCTGGCGCACTTAAACCCCCATCTCACTCGACTCAGAAATGCTTCCCCCCTGCTTTGCCGCTGGTGCCTCTCCACCCCTCCCTCCCCCCCCCGATGTTGTTTCTAGCAGAAGCTGTCCTGTTATTTTCCTTCTTGTCACCTCCCCGGCCCTTCCCTCTGGCTCCCGAGGGCTGCTTGGTACTCCTGTCCCCAGACCAGCTGTGCCTTCCCGGCGGCCCGTGTTTACCTCCCACATGTTTGGCATTTTTCTGGGCCTGACTTCAGCAAGGTCTCCTTGACCGCCTTGCTCCCTCCCATCGCTTTGCTGTTTCTTCAAATTCCATCCACGATTTCCAGCCTTTCCACCTCACCTCTCCTCCTCCCCGCCACCCCCCCCCTCCCCACCCTGCCAATCAGGTCATTACAAAAAAAAAAAAAATTCTCCAGCCAACCTTCCTTTGCAAACCACCTGCCTTGGCATCCTGGCACTGCCTTGGTACCGCTGCTTCTCGCCTGCCCAGCCCAGGAAAACTGCCTGTTATGTTTTCAGAACCTCTCCAGGTGCACGGCCCAGACTCCGGCCAGGCCCTGGAGCTGCCTGAGGAATGTTTTGGTGGAGGAATGTGGTTCCTGGGAGGGGGGAGGAGTAGACTAAGAAGGCCCTCTGGAAGGTTCCAGCCTAGGGTGCCCCTCAGAGTCCAAACCCCCCC